AACTTCCGCGCAATTCCAATTCCTTCAAACTAGCCATCAATTTCAAAGCAAACAATATAACATAACATAACATCACGCCTTTTATCCCCGAAGAGGTAGGCAGAGGTGCACATGAGTCCCATATAATAGGGGGTGAGCCTATTGCCATATACCGGGCACATTCCAGACTCAGTGCTACTACTGAGATTTTTGCAAACCCAGTAATACTTTGCCCGACCCGAGACCCCTTGCACTTGCGACCACTCGGCCAACGAGGCGGTAAGAATGTAAATACATTCTACAAACACATATTACGAACGTGTTTGGTTTACAAACACTTTGTAACTAAACACGCTATCGGGTAATGGTCAGACGGTTTTATTAACTCTGCAATTACTTACATAACTTACTCATAAAATAATAAGTAAAGTGGTTAAACGCTGAAAATGAAATAAAAACGACATACCATGTGGTGGCCCGGAACCTACCAACGGCAAGTACCAATGTGACTTTTTACGAGTTATATGTACTTTCTAAGATTATTTAGACACCACTGACAAACGGTGAAGAAAAAAAAAACCTGAGGAAACCTGGACTAATCGCCAACCCGCATTGAGCAAGCGTGGTGATTAATGCTCAAACCTTCTCCGTGTGAGAAGAGGCTTTGCTCAGCAGTGGGCATTTATAGGCTGTTGATGATGACCGGTGATTAAGTGTGGGAGGGCCATGCTTCAGTACGAACGGGCCGGTAACACGGCCTCACAGAAAACCGACGTGAAACATCGCTTGTGTTGTGTTTCGTCGTGTGAGTGAGTTTACCGGAGGCCTAACTACCTTCCCCAATCTCCCCAATCCCTGAATGCCTAACAATCCTAACTCCTAATCCCCCAAAGGCCGGTAACGCACATGTAACGCCTCTAGTGTTCTAGGTGTCTATGGGCGACGCCGATTGCTTACCATCAGGTGATCCGTCTGCTCGTTTACTAATATTTAAAAGGTTATTCCAGTAACCTCACTCACACGACGAAAGGCTACGCAAGCGTTGTTTCACGTCGGTCTTCTGCTCGGACGTGGTATTACTCCGGTCGAGCCAGCCCTTTCGTGCCGAAGCATGGCTCTCCCACAGTTTAACATTATATGATACTAGCTTTTACCCGCGGCTTCGCTCGCGTCACAAAAGGATAAAAAGCCGATATGACAAAACCTATACACACAGCGCCATCTATAACAATACTTTTGTTTTCCCTCGGGAATATCAATTTTTTCCGGGATAAAAAGTATCCTATTATTTAATCCGGACTTCTAACTATACATCTACAAAAATTCAAAGCAATCGGTTCAGTAGTTACGGCATGATAGTGGAACAAACAAACAAACTAACTTTCCGATTTATAATATAAAAGTAAGGATATAAGTAAGGATAAGTAAGGACAAGTAAGGAAGTAAGGATGAGCATAATACAGATTCAGTGTTAAATAATTTGGGTTTGTAAACATATTTTTTTTTTTTTTTTTTAAGGGGGGAAAATCATCGAATGACTGCTCCCGCCTGGGTGAGGCGGGAGGGAGTGTCAGACTCTTACTGACTAAAAACCACCCCGTTCCTTCTCCTGCACGTCGAGCCGGAGCCCCGGTTACCCGTTAGGTTCTCCGCGACTTTGTAAACATATAAATACCTAACATTGTCTTACCTGCCAATCTAACTCACTCTTGGCAATCGCGTTTGCAACTACTTGGATAATGAGAGAATATACGTACATACATAACATCACGCCTTTTTATCCTCGAAGGGGTAGGCAGAGATGCACATTACGGCACTTAATGCCACTGTACAATGTAACACCCACTTTTCACTATTTATGTTATGAGTCCCATGTAATAGGGGGTGAGCCTATTGCCATATACCGGGCACAATTTTATTCCAATACCAATTCCATTCGTGCTACTACTGAGATTTTTTAAAAACCCAGTAATACTTTGCCCGACCCGGGAATCGAACCCGAGACCCCTTGCCCGGCAGTCGCACTTGCGACCACGAGAATATACGTATACATGTCAAATTGTATTATTTACCGTCTGTCTCAGGTCTAGACTGAAAATGTTCTAATATTGTAAATGTGAAAGTTTGTGATGTGTGTGTGTGTGTGTGTGTGTGTGTGTGCTCTTTGACGGCTCTTTCATAACGGCTGAAGGGATCGAGATAAAATTTTGCACAGGGGTAGATTATGGCAAGTCCCCGTCACCACGTTTTAAAGGACCCGAGACGGTGGCGCGCTTTCCACGCTAGCCTCCGAGACGTTGCACGGATAAGATCAACACCTCACTCTTCTGTGCACCTTGAGGTGGGCCCTGGCAAGGCAGGCCGCCATGAGTTCGGGGGCTGCGGATGAATGTGACTCCCGCACCCTCGTTCCCACGTGAGAGACGGGACACCGGGGTGGGTTTTAGTCAGTAAGAGTCTAACAGTCCCTTTCGTCCGCCCCAGGCGAGGAGCCACCCTCCATGAGGATTGAATTTCCCACCTTGGGTTCAAAAAAAGGAGGTACATTATGTATGACACAGATTAATCAATAGTTACTACATCAATTATGGTCTGGATAACATAATTATGCCAGTTTTTGTCCCGCAGGCACGCGGGCTAGGCCGTTGGCAGAAGCTATGTATATTTACAATTTAATCAACGCAAAAAAATGTATGTCAAAAATGATCACCCATCCTCCACCTGACCGCGAAGTGTGTTGCTTAACCTGGCATGCGCCGGCGCTGCGTTGTTAATAATATCGATCACGCAGTCGGACTAGTATAGTGTGTGAGCGAGACGTGATATGTAGGGTGACTACGTTCAATGAGAATTCGCGGACAGTCTTGAATAATTTCTGTTTGTAGCATAATGAAACTATAATTAAGTAAAACGTAATACAAAAATAACTATGTACTGAATATAAATTTAAAATTATAGATAGGTACTTTTCATAAATAATTAAATAGGTCACAGAAAAAAAAACATTAAAAATCTAACTTATTTCTCTGAGAAGAAACGCCGAAACGAAAATTCAAGATTTTTCATCATCATCCTAACTGGCCACTGCTGACCAAAAGCCTCTTCTCACACGGAGAAGGTTTGAGCATTAATCACTACGCTTGCTCAATTCGGGTTGGCGATTTCAAACTTAACTATAATAAGAAATTATAAGCCCAGGTTTTCTCACGAAATTTTCCTTAACCGTTCGTCAGTGGTGATGATAGGTTATCTAGAATCTTAGAAAGTACATATAACTCGGAAAAAGTCACATTGGTAGGTACTTACCGTTGGTAAGTTCGAAACTAACTTCATCAACAGCCTGTTTTCATCCACAGCTGGACATAAGCCTCTCCAATGGCACACCACTGAGCTCGGTCTTCAGCTCTACGCATCCAACCACTGCCAGCCACTTTACGTATATCGTCACTCCACCTAGCTGGAGGGCGCCCTACACTACGTTTGCCTATACGCGGTGTCCACTATAGAACACTCTAGGACTAACTTCAACCCCCTCTTTTTAAGCCGGTTAGTTAATCTGTCAAACACCAAGCGGTCACCGGTGACCGCGACCTATTGTTCTTTAATTGTGTCTATAAAACCGGTACTCGACGAGTTAATATACTAAAACCTTCTCCTAGGTGTAAAGAACGCTTTTCTGAAAACAGCATCAAAATCGGTTCCAATTACGAGATAATCTCGGACAAACATACATACAGAAAGAAAGAACAGCATTGATTCGACAGTAGGCACGCACACAGATACAACCTCCTTTTATTGAAGTCTTTTAAAAATTCCATGCAGTCATTGTAATTTTTGTGACTTTGCTCTCATTACCATAATAATTAAGAACATCATCATCATTATCATTACCATAATAATTATGTATAATATGTAGTCTGTAAGTTTCATTGATTGTTTAATTAGTTTTTTATTGTTTTTCTTCTATTTTGGTTTTATTTTATTGTGCATCTACCACCCATTCCCAGATTCTTTTCAAAAATTCCATGCAAAGGTTGTCTGGAAGAAATCGCCGCGTGTGATAAGACCGCCCATTGTACTCAAATTACTATTGCAATGTTTACAATTTTTTTCTGTGTGTGCAATAAAGTATAAATAAATAAGAACGATTAACTAAAATGGGTCGAGCGTGGTATTTTAATATAGTACCTAAATGCATATAAACAAATAAACCTAATTACCGTTTATGATCAGTTTTAATGCGTTCATAAAGACCTATATTTACTGGATGACTTGTCAACGGAATTGTACAGAGCTGCCATGTTGAATTATGATTGCAAATTAAATGGCAATGATCATTTGTTAAATGTCTCAATTGGTGTGTTTGTTATTTTGATTTATGTTCTCGAAACATCTTTCTTTCTATGACTTGACTTGTTTTGACATATTTGTGAAATTAGAGCAGCCGGATACTCTGATGGTAAGCAATACTCCTAGAGGAATTGCCAGTCTTTCGAATATCGAAAATTTGGGGAATTCAATTTAATAATATTTTGACTTAACATGTACACACGGCTACACATCGAGCTTTACATAACCAGTATAAACTGAACGTTAAATGTGAGGAAAGATGATGCGACGCGACACCAGCATAAACTGGTTTTGTATAGATTGATGTGTGGCCGTGTGTACATTTCATTTAATACAATAAGTTATTAATTAACACGTGTAATAAAGACGTAGTATAAAATATATTCGAAGTGACATCACCAGACACAACACATCAACTTCAAACTCGCACATAATTTACAAGTCACTAAATAAACAAAACTGTCCTCTACACCCACGAACTGAAACACCCTGACCCAAAAACCAGAAATAAATTTTCCTAAAATAATCCACAACTAACATTGTCACATTGTCACCCTAACCCAGTGGTATCATTCGCGTGGTGTGCGCATGCTCAAAACCTGCTGCTAGCGATAAATGACTTTAGTATACGGCGGGCAGTCGTTCAGTACAGACGTGTTTGTGTTCCAGATATGTGCGCGGCAATCGACATGTTGGCGTCCGAGTCCTTTTATGGACACAGTCCGCCAGCCGGCTTCCTATCAGACTACAGCATTCAAGCTCCACGAAGACCAACAAAACTCACATCCAGAGGGTTCTCAGCACCATGTTTAACACCTCTAAAACCCGTGCATTTGACTTTAAAATCAGCTCCCCGGTCGTGTATAAGAATACCAAATGAGAAGAAAAAGAAGAAAGTGGTTTTCGCTGACGATAGAGGTTTTGCACTAGAACATATCAAGTTTATGACAGAGCCGTCTCATGTGCCACCTTACTGGGCGCTGAGGATAGTCTCCAGTCCACCTTCGGAGAGGAAACCGCCACCAAAACCAGCGGATTTATGGGAGACGAGATTCGTGCAGCCGGCGTCTGATTACCTGGAATTTCGGCGAAGGATCACTCAAGATTGTGTGTCTTTGGAGAATGTGATAATCAAACAGGATGAGTGCGCGGTTGACGGGACTGTAAAAGTTAAAAATCTGGACTTTGCTAAAGAGGTTTTCGTTCGAACGTCCTCAGACGGGTGGCTGACGAGCGAGGATACATTTTGCGCGTTCGTTGAAAGTGGTCCTTTAAACCAAAATGGAGTATCAACGTATGATACTTTTGGATTCCGACTGCAACTTCCAATCCATTCTCGAAGGCTAGACTTTTGTGTCTGCTTTAAATCTAAAGGGCAAGAATTCTGGGACAATAACGGAGGTTCAAACTACACCATAGAAAAGTCTTCGGTACGGAGTCAACCGGCGATTTCTTGTGCCCGTATAAAGTACGGTAACTCGTGGACTACAAGGTCAAACGGGGATGGAAATGTGCCCTACTGGTGATTAATAAATGACTTTAAATGAATTAGTGATCGAAAGCCATTCTGGCTGGTGATTTGTGCCATAATATGGTTCCTAGAGAATGTGAAGGTCTGTATATTATTTTTTTCTGTCTAATGCAGATTACGGTGATTAACGTTAATGTCTGTAGAAAGGTGATTAAGGAAATTATCAGCTTTTTCCTGCGATTTTTAGATTAGAAGTGGTGATAAAGCGATTGGTTATTTCTTAACCTTTGAGGATAGAAAATGTTGCTTTCAAAGCATTTCCGTGCTATTTGATTGATTGTTAATCAAGTGGTGATTTAGTAACTTGGTGATTAATTACCTCCCTTAATTTAAGTGTTTAGTCAGATGGTGATTAATTAATGTTTATCATTACATACCGATTATTTATATTAAAATGGTATGTTGAATGAAATATAGCGTATATTTTTATATCTTAATTACATACGCTCATTTTAATGTCTCGATATTGCTATCTCTTTCGTTTTAAGGTGCTTGGAAAGAGAAAAACAGTCATTTATGTAGCTGGGATAGACATTTACAAGTAAATTACCTTTTGCAGTCACTAAAATGTATATTGGTGGACCTTATGCCATCTAAATACGAAATGTCATAACTCCATTGTAGACATTCATACGATTTTCGTCGTTAATGTGAACAGGAATAAGTAGTAGAATTGCTTGTGTTAATTTAACATTGAATTTAGACAGCTGGGTTTTTCATATATCTACATGAATACAAAGATCGCCTTACATGTTATTGTTTTAAAACGAATCAGTTGTCAGTATAGACTTAAAATGGTGAAGAAAAACGTCTTGAAGATTTTAATCTAGTCTTGATTCGATTCATATTTAATAGACACACACCTACTGGAGTTAAAATTATTATTAAATAAATTGTAATAATAAATACAAGTCTTTACCTAACATCTGAATGACAGAGATAACACAGCTGTAGGTAACTACTGCGCGTAGAAGGCTGTGTGTCATCAAAGTTTATCTTTTGAATTCATTTGTTAAACAAATCTACTAGGATAACAAACAAATAGTTCTATTTTAAAACCTTTAACTGAGAGATAAGTTTTTAAACTACCAAAAAGGCCGGTAACAAACAATGATATTATAAATAATAAAAAGAGGTAGATATCGCACTGGCACGCAAAAATTGTTGCGAACGAATTCAGACAATGGGGATGATGACAGGGTATGAAAATTAAAAATATAATTAGTCCGTAAGTTAGGTAATGAAAAAATATTAGACACGTATTTTTTTATTTTGTCGTATAATAAAACAATACTTTTTTTTTTTTTTTCTTTCTTCTTTGGCAACCGAGTCTCCAACTACTTAGATAAAACGAATCAAAGTTTAGGAGTGGGGGCTAAAACGTCATTCCTTAGTATAAAATGTACTGAGAAGTGACGTCACGCGACATTTCAAATCAATATATCTTCGAAACTATTCGTTTCTGTGAGAAAATAAAAAATACGTGTCTAATATTTTTAAATAATCTATCAGACGGACATTAAAATAAAAATTAGTCGTCTACCCTCTCTTTCTGTACCATACTTTCCGTATTATCTGTCGCACGTAGTTGAAAATGACATTTAAGTACATTTGTAATAAGAACGCAACAATTTTTGGACGCCGCTTAGTATGAACGTAGCGTATCTTCTTTATAATATCATTGGTAACAAACGCATTTGTACCTCCTTATGTTGCTAGTGTCTATGGATGACACAGATTGCTTACCATCAGGGTGCTTACTCTTGAAATCAATCTCAATATCAATGCAATGTCAATCCAATAAAATCTCAATAATTATTCAATATCAACACTATACAACCCCTATCGTAGCTGTTAAAATAGCATTCGGAGTACGGAATGTATAGTCAAAATCAGTACCATTTAGTTCATTCAATATCCAAGTAATACGGATGCAATGGGCGATGGTGTTGCAAATCAAGAGTACGAAATTTTACAATACCAATGTCGATCGATCGGAATTGGATTCAAGAGTAAGCCCCCAGGTGATCCTTCCTCCCGTTTGTCCACATATTCGATTTAATAATAAATGTTCGTTTATACTCATTCTAGAGTCAGATGGAACGGTAAATTCACATTTATATGTGTTTATTTTGGTGTAAAACAGGTTCCTTAAATCACGAAACTGCATAGTGATAACCTCGCTTGGTAACATTATGCGGCATAATTTATGCCGCATAGTATTTAATTTGGCCAAATTAAAATTTCACACAAAATGGTAGACGAGTTTTGTCGTATTATTATTAAAAGGACTGGGTTTTATAAATGCTTAGGAATTAATATCATTTTAGGAAACAATCTCGCTTTAGTTAGATGAGGACATTTTTGAATTGATGTAAAATCTGAATGTGACTCGACTAACTGCATCATGAATTCTAAGGATATGTTTAGGTAAAAGAATAGGAAGACGAAAGATAAACATAAGTCAACAGAATTGTTTTAAAAAAATAAATGTTTAGGTAAAACACAATACAATGTTTTTCTTCTTTATTGATTTGCAACCGAGTCAGCGTTGTTAAGTATACTGCCAGTGTCGAAATGTTTAGATATTTAGCTTCACTGTTTTACTAAACATTCTAAATAGATTGGTTTCACAATACCTAATATAGATTTTGGTGACTGCAAAAACAGAAACGAACGTTGGCGTTGAAATAACAACTTAAACCAAATAGGTTTGTCAAAATAATGGCGCCAATTTTGACAGCTGTCAAATAGTGTCAAACTAAACCCCCGGATCGGTCCTTTCTAAAGTTTGATTGCAACGAAAAATCAATAGATTTTATTTAATTTCAGTTGTTTTCTTTGTGAGGTATTCAGAAATCTTTGATATTTTGACAGAGGCCCAGAATTAATTATTTTTTCTTACTTTATTTTGCTGGCCCGTCAAACTATTAGATGAAATTATGATCCCCTTACGCTATTTATATTTTTCTTTGACTTGTATACGAATAGTTATCATTTAAACAGCATAGTAACAACAGAATACATATAAAACAGTTATAAGTTTACAAACACAAAGTAATCTTGTTTAGTCTATTTTTCAGCCATCTTGAATTCCAAGTTGTTTGATAAACACTTATATTGTTTGTTTATTGCGAATCATATCTAATCTGTTGTTAATTTTCTACATTCTGATACTTATAAACTGTTATATTTTATTTCCAATCACTGTTAAAGTGACAGGAAATTACCCGGCTTTGATGAAATGTCATTTTACAGAATGCAATAATATTATGATTTACAAAACTGGTTTTGTCATAGTCATGTTTCGACTGCACGGTTGACGCGGTGGCTGGGCAACCGGCTGCCGCGCAACGTATAGCGTGTTCGATTCCCCGAAACAACTCTTTAACCACAGATTTTTGTTCTGGGTCTGGGTGTCATGTGTATGTGAACTTGTATGTTTGTAATCGCACCCACGACACAGGAGAAAATACTAGTGTCAGGCAAGGGTTTAAAAAAATGATTTAAATATACTGTTAATAAAGAAACTAAACCGAATAATTTTCCACAAAATGTATCTAATATAATTATAGAGCGAAAAGTTTGTTTAAAACTTCTAGCTCAGTAATCAAACCTCTGCTTGCTCCTTCAAGGAATATAAGTATGACGGTTAATTGTTTTTTTTAATAAATTAATATAATAATTTTAGCAACAAGTTTACTGATATTTTTAATTCAGCCATATTTGAATGAAGAAAATGACAAGTGAACACGTTGGCTCAATCGGCGCGGGAAAATTATCGATGACGTTACTTTATTATCTGTGTAAAGGGCGGGAAAATAATTAATATGGCGGTCGGGTGAAAGTTCCTGTCATATTCTTATTTATTATAATAAATTTTGTAAACTGACTAGCTCAAGTGCATTAAATAAATATTAAATAATAATGCCGTTTTTAACGTACTCTATCTTACAATAGCTAGCCATATTCAAGTATCTGATTTTTAATTAAAAAATACAATATGAAATATGACTTTTTTATTATATTTTTCCATTATAATGGTATTGAACGTGTTAAAAATATGCATTACTGGGTATAATATATGTTGCAATTTGTGAAATGATATTTTTATTTAATTTTGTATAGAATGGTGGCTCGAAGTGAGACAATAAGTAATATTGTTCAGTAAAATGTAATTGTACATGAACATAGTACATTTGTTATTAACATTTTTTTTGTAAATGAAATCGTCTATAATTTATAAGCGGAATTACCGCGAATAGCGATTACATTTTCATATAAAATGAAAATGGATGTTGATATGATTTTGGATGTTCATGTATGAAAGTGGATGACGCTTAAAAAGGTGTTCACAGGGTAGCTAAATGAGATAATAATGCTATTAAAAGTTTATTTCGATAAAATAATAGTTTTATGTTATTGTAATAATAGTCTTTTTTTAAATAATAATTGCTGATGATGCGATTTTTTATTTATATTTTTTGTAATAAAATCGTCGCTCTGTATAGTCTGTTTATGTCTCGACAAACGAGCCTGATAAACTGGTGTAAATAAATAATAATTATAAAATAAAAAAATATATTTTTATTCTTTAATTTTCTCTCTTATATTCAATCCAATGTTAATTGTAAATATTATTCTTAAATAATAAAATTTATCGTTCATTTTCTCTCGTTTTAATAATTATTATTTCTTAATATTTTCTCATAATAATAGTCACCAGAATATCACTTTTTGGCTCGACAGTTTTATTATTATTATAGTAAAATAATATTAATTCTATTTTATTATTATTTTAAGCTTAGAAATGATGTATGTCAGTAATTTATTTATGAATGGTTACTAAGTAAAATAATAATACTTTTTCTACCTTTCTTATTATTGTATAGTTATTAAAATAAGGTTGTAAGAATTTTAAAAGCAAGAACTGATTACTATTATTGTGTTTTGAAACTAAGGAGTTTATCGAATTTTATTGTTTTTGTATAAAAT